CGCTCAGAAACCGAAGCAGTCAGACCTGGCCCACATAAAGGAACCTTATTCTGGGTCATTCAGCGAATTACAAGTAGCTTCCAGCCTTTGGGATTTAATGAACTAGTAAATTTGCAGAAAAGATTTCGGCGACCCACATAAAGTTGCCAGCCTCTTATTTTCTCCGGTAAGGCCTCATGACTGTGGCTTCCGTGAAGTTGTATTGAAAAGCCCTCGCTGTCATTTGTGATCCAGTATCTGCAAAGTTAGAGCTGGGTGCTTTTCCAGAAATACCTTATTCGATCTTCACAATGTTCTGGCTACGAAAGTATCATGTTCATATTACAGAGGAGGAGAGAGGCTCAGAGAGGGTAAGGAAATTACCTGATGCTGCACAGCTAGTTTATGGCCAAGCAAGGCTGGGAGCCCACGTTTGTCTCCAAAAGCCTGTGTCTTTCCCACTCTACTATTTATCACATTGGAAATATGTATGTACCATTCAAATGTCATTTTTTAAAGATTTATTTATTTGAGAGAGAGCAGAAGCTGGGGGGAGAGGGAAAGGGACAAGCAGGTTCTCCGCTAAGCAAGGAGCCCGATGCGGGCTTGATCCCAGCACCCTGAGATCATGACCTAGGCCGAGGGCAGACGCTTAACCGACTGAGCCACCCAGGCGCCCCTCCAATGTGATATTTCTTTCTTTATTTACTTTTAAGATTTTATTTATTTCGGAGAGAGAGAATGAGAGAGAGAAAGCACGGGGAGGGGAGGGTCAGAAGGAGAAGCAGACCCTGCTGAGCAGGGAGTCCCATATGCGACTCGATCCCAGGACTCCAGGATCATGACCCAAGCCGAAGGCAGTCACTTGACAAACGGAGCCACCCAGGCGCCCCTCAAATGTGATTTTAAAAACAGTTCTGTCTTGATGAAATGACAGAATGGTTAGGAATTAAAATTGAGTTTTGTCTGTGTAGAGAGATCTGGGCTTCCAGGAAAAGTCTTAAGAGCATTTTTTGCCCACTTCAATTTATCCAACATTTCTCCAACTGGAGATGAAAAATCCCACAAAAGCTATAGAGACTATTTCTAACTGACGTTGTGATATACTTATGTTAACATACATTTGGTCTGAGATGGTGATGAATGTGACTTCTTTAAACCTGTTCTGATCAGGGGTGCCTGGGTGGCTCAGTCGGTTAAGCGTCTGCCCTTGGCTCAGGTCATGATCCCAGGGTCCTAGGATGGAGCCCCGCACTGGGCTCCCTGCTCAGTGCGGAGCCTCATTCTCCCTCTGCCTGCCACTACTACTGCTTGCGTGTTCTCTCTCTCTCTCTCTGAAAAATAAACTCTTTAAAATAAAAATAAACCTGTTCTGATCAAATATGTTGTCACAAGTAAGGCTTATGAAAGGTTATTTCAGTGTTCACTACATCATTAAAGATTTGGCTATTAAAGCGAATGGCTCCTAGTCGGAAAGACTGACTCACGGAATTAAATTTATTGACCATATAAGTGAGGAAGAGAATCCCACTCCACTTCTGTTTGGCCAGAAAACAAAAGACAAAGGAATAGATTTTGTTGACATTTGCTAAAATTATCAAGGTCTCTCTTTCAGGAGAGGTGTTAGGGAATAAGGTGTAGTCCCCCCAGATTTGTGTGTTGAAGCCGTAACCTCCTGTGCCTCATGATGTGACTGTGTTTGGAGACAGGGCCTTCAAAGAGATGAGTAAGGTTAATGCGGTCATATAGGTGAGTCCTAACCCAATCTGGTGTCTTTTTAAAAAGAGGAAGGGACGCCAGGAATGCTCGTGCACAGAGGAAACGCTGTATGAGGACACGGCCATCTGCACGTAATGGAGAGTGTCTTCCAGAGAAACCAAACCTGCTGACACCTTGCTCTTAGAACTTCAGAACTGTAAGAAAAGTAATTTCTGTTGTTTAGAAGCAGCCCAGTCTGCGGTAGTTATGGCAGTGCGAGCGCACTACTACAGCAGGCACTGGGTTTCGGGCATGAGCCAAGCCAAGGCAGCCAGTCAAGAGAGATGTCAGTAGACTATGATAGATGAGAGTTTATTATCCAGGAAAGACAGTAAACCTCAAGGCTTACCTTGAGGATCAGGGGGAAAAAAGATTTTTTTAGGAAGGAAGTCCATGGTCAAATAGTGATTTTTAATAGTCAAACTAGTGTCTGTTATCAGCTGGGTGTGTTTCTCTACTTTTTTGCTATAAAATGTACCTTATAATAATTTTATGCTTATGATTATTTATCCAATAATGACTCCTTCCCTAACAGCTAAGAATTTATGTAAGAATTTTATTGTCTAGAGTGCGGTGAACAGGGAGGGCTGCCAGTTCCCTAGGACTTGAATCTTTTCCCAGTCACTTCCTAGCTGGGTGACTTGGGGCAAACTACTTAACTCCCTCATCTTGGTTTCGTCATCTGTACAATAGAGATGGGAGAACCCTCCCATAAGGTGGTGTGAAAAGTAAACGACTAATACACATAAAGTGCTGAGAAGGCTCCGCGTACAGGCAGCAGCAGGTGCACGCTGGCTGTTATTTTCACCAGGACCTCTCTCCGCACTCGGATGACAGGTAGTGGAATGGTTCCGCCTCGTGGTTCCACAGGGATGTCTGCCAGCAGGTGCCAGCCCCCGCGGATCTGCCGGCGTGGTGGTAAAGAAAAATGAGCCGGTGGGGCGCCTGGGTGGCTCAGTGGGTTAAGCCTCTGCCTTTGGCTCAGGTCATGATCTCAGGGTCCTGGGATCGAGCCCTGCATCCGGTTCTCTCCTTGTCGGGGGGCCTGCTTCCCCCTCTCTCTCTGCCTGCCTCTCTGCCTGCTTGTGATCCCTCTTTCTGTGTCTAGTGAATAAATAAAATCTTTTAAAAAAAATGAGCTGCCCCGAAGAACAGCAGCTTTTAAATCTCAGTGTTCGACATCATCTAGGAGGCTGACCAAAAGGCAGATTCCCAGGCCCTGTCCCCAGAGATGCTGATGCACCAAGTCGGGATAGAGCCCAGGAATCTGTCCCTTTAGTGAGCCCCTTGATTAATTCTAACGCAGGTGGTTCTCAGATCCACTATTAAGAAATACTCATCAAAAACAATTTCTTCTGGATTCAAAGCTATTAAATTATGGTAAATGTAACTTACTAATCATGAGTCTATAATACATCTCATTAAAAGTATTTGAAATGTTTAAATAAAACTAACTTGGGTCAAAAATGAGTATGTAGGCTTGCTTTTAAAAGTCATCTGAAAATGGGGTGTCCGGATGGCTCAGTTGGTTAAGCATCTGTCTCTTGAGTTTGGCTCAGGTCATGATCTCAGGGTCCTGAGATCGAGCTCTGCGTTGGGCTCAGTGTTCAGCACAGGGTCTGCTCGAGAGTCTTCTCTGCCTCCTCCCTCCAGCACGCTCTCGTTTTCTCTCTCTCCCTCTCTCTCAAAAATAGATAAATCTTTTTTTAAAAAATAATCTGAAAGACAGTTTCTGCAAATGTTAGTAAGAGTTACGGATAAACCTGAAGAAATCGAGCATTGAATGCAGACCTCAGTTTCTTCACGACAACTTGAGTCACCCCGGTTGTCTCAGCCTGGCAGCCCCCTCAGGGTTATGGTCTTAAGGAACTGAGTTGAGGACAGGTGGGGAGAGAGATGTGAAAGCAGCTTACAGAGAAGCAGGGAGAAGCAGGTTTGGTTCCTCTGGAGGAAATGGTTCATTCGGCCAGAAAGTAGCAGGTTATTGTGCGAGTTAGTCAGAAGCTTTGCATGCAGATAGTGATAGCCGTGAGAGGTATTTTTAGGGAGCCAGGACCCTGAGGAAAAATAGCGCTGGACTCTCTATGATGCTGGAGAAATCTTCGCCGTACAGTAGCCCCGTGTGCCTAATAGTAAAGGAGGATGTCTTGTTTTTATTCACTTTCCTTTACTTACTGTTGAAGCTGAATATGTTTTCTCATGGTGGTTAACCCGTAATCTTAAGAAAACAGCATTTGGGGGGCAAACTTCAGACAAAGCAGTGTGACCATTCACAATTAACTCCTAGCGTCCATTAAGGGGATTTTTTATTATATTTATTTATTTATTTAAGAAGGAGAGTGTTAAGAGAATAGAATAGAGAGCCTGGGCTTGTGTGTAGGACTGACTCGGAGCCGTGCCGTTCAGTCTTGTGTAACGCCGCAGAAGTTACCCAATCTCTCCAGGCTTTGCTTTCGTGACCGTAAAACCGGGCTGACGCCTTCACAGTCGTTCTCACAATGACCGCGCGTGCTAGGCCTGTGCAAGCTTTCGATCAAGTGCGGCTGCTACTGAAAGATTGGAAGGTCTCTCTCCTAATTACGCACCAGCAATGTCGAGGTGGGACAGCGCGCCTCTGAGAAGCCAGGACTGTTCAAGTCCCCGAGAGCCGCCTGCTTTCATTCATTCTTTCAACTTCTGTAGCTCCGCAGAGAGGGACTTTGCGTCTCTGCTTCAGAAGGAGGCGGCCGGGCGGCGGGTTGGCTGCTAGCCCAGGAGCGGCCCCGGGTCTGACAGGGCCCGGCAGTGCTTGCTGGCCTGGTGCTTAGTGGGTTAGCAGGTCGGCCCCGGGCTGACCGGCTAAATCCCCCTGCACTTCTCTCGTCTTCCCCAGAAGGACAGAAAGTGCCCCTGCAAGTGCCGCGAGGCGTGTGGTCATTCTGAGGTCATCCAGGACCTGGGTTTCCCTTTTAGCCTCGTGCTCGTGTCCACCTGCCTCTCAGTGTGGGGGTGTCTCGTGTCGGGTCCCCAAGACTCTGCTTCACTGAGAATTCGGTTCTTTGCACCACGGATTTTGGAGACTAAACGTACTTTTGGAAGCTTGTAAACAGTGAGTTTCGAATGTCGAGCGCTACCTGGTCTTCCCAGCGAGGCGGCGACTCTGACACGCGCGGGCTGTTCGGCCGCCGACCGGGTGACCGCCACACGGGTGCTCCAGCGGTGCCAGCGCACCCTGGCGTCCCGCCCTGAACCGCTTTCTCCTTCGCCTTCTCGCACTTTCCCAGCCAACGGCCCGGAGGGCAGCCGCCGCGAGGTCGGAAATGTCCGCGGTCCTGCGGGAGCTGCTGCGGGTCTCCGAGAAGGCAGCGGACATCGCCCGGGCGTGCCGGCAGCAGGAAGCCCTGTTCCAGCTGCTGATCGAGGAAAAGAAGGGGGGAGAGAAGAACAGGAAGTTTGCAGTTGACTTCAAGACGCTGGCGGACGTGCTGGTACAGGAAGTCATCAAACGGAGTGTGGAGAACAAGGTAAGGAAGGTCACAGCCAAGGTGATTGCAAGTTATTTGCCTTGTGATTTTTTTCACTAGAATAGCATGATCTCTCTCTCTCTCTCTCTCTTTTTTAAGATTTTTTAAGATTTTATTTATTTATTTGACAGAGATCACAAGTAGGCAGAGAGGCAGGCAGAGAGAGAGGGAAGCAGAGAGCCCGATGTGCAGCTCGATCCCAGGACCCTGAGATCATGACGTGGGCCGAAGGCAGAGGCTTAACCCACTGAGCCACCCGGGTGCCCTGCATACTCTCTCTTCTTCCCTTCCCACCTCAGAATACTAGCACCTAGGATTCTAATAAACAACTTGGGTTCCCTCCCGCCCTGTTTTGACTACAAAATTACTAAAAATGTTCACTGCAGAAGAAATTAAAAATACAGAAAAGCAAATACGGAGAAAAAAATTACCGTTCTGACAGCTGAAGAGAAACATTTGGATATGGAGCTTTTATTTATTAATGAGTTTCTTTTTAATAAATAATACACATTCTTCAGAAAATAAGCAAAAATAAGAATCCTTAATCCTACACCTAGAGAAAACCACAGCTATGTTTTACTAAATATTGTAAGGACATTTTCCTTCTATGCTTATTTGTGTACATGGTACATAGAATTTGTCTCAGCAGAAATGGGAACATTTATTGACTTCTTTTTTTTAACTTGACATATCATGTTCCACCTTCTTCTTTTTTTTTTTTAAAGATTTTTATTTATTTATTTATTTGACAGAAATACAGCGAGAGAGGGAACACAAGCAGAGGGAGTGGGAGAGGGAGAAGCAGGCCTCTTGCAGAGCAGGGAGCCCAATTCGGGGCTTGATCCCAGGACCCTGGGATCATGACCTGAACAGAAGGCAGATGCTTAATGACTGAGCCACCAGGCACCCATCATGTCCCACCTTCTGATATAAACTTTTATCTAATGGTTGCCTCCGTTATAAGCTGGTACAGTCCTGAAGACTGAAAATCCCCTTTTATTCTAATAGAAAATCATTCTTTATAACTAACAATGATTGTGATTCAAGGTATCTTAAGCTGACCGGGAAAAGAAACTACTCATAAGTAGTAATAACAAGTAATAACACCAGCAGATACTTATGAGTCCTTACTATGTGTCAGGCCCTTCTAAGGGCTTTAAATATATTGATTTATTTAACAATTCTAATAATTTTATGAGGTAAGAATTATTATTCCAATGTAATGGATGAGAAAAGGGAAGCACAGAGATGTTAAGTAACTTGCCCAAGGTTGCACAGCAAGTGAATGGCAGGAACAACTTTTGAACACAGGCTGACTGGCTCCAGAGTTTGCACTCTTTGCGATACTATGTTGCCTTTATATGATAATCTAATAATTACACATTTTTTAAGATTTGGGAGGATAGAACTTTATGGCAAAAAACACTACAACATATTGGAATAGCTTCTATTGAAATTCTCAAAATATTGGGAATCATACGGAATCATTTAAGTGAATTATTGACCATGGGCAGGAAGAGATAATAAATGGTCCCTTGAAATCTCTACAAACTATGCTTTGTCATGCCCTGTAGTATCTAGCTCCAAAAAACAAAGTAAATTTATTTTTGTTACTTATCAAGGTAGTCGGGTACCAGGGATGGTTGAGCACTTGAATTAGAAACTGATCATTAACTTGTATTAGTTAATATTTGCCCCAAAGCCCTGTGACAAGCTCAGCACTTGTTCAATCCTAAAGTATATGCCAGGACCTGTGAACAAAGAAACGATGTTCACTTTCGGCTCACTAAGACCTCTCTGTTTCATGACCCTTCTATCCTGTAACCTCAGAAGCAGGTCCTTAAGGCTTGGGAGTGGAGCCGCAGCCCCTGCTGAATGGGCTCATTGGCAGCCGCTGGTGACGCGCACTGTTCTTCAGAAGAGGGAAAAACAACAAGTTATTGTGGGCACTGTTAAAATTATTGGCCACCTGCAAATGACTGAGTTCAAATATTTGAAGCATTTCCTTGCTTTTGTTCCCTGAGAACATCACACATATCATAATTCAGCACACAGTCGGAGAAAAATTCTCTTTACTACAGAGAGGATCAGAAGCAAAATAGGTTTGAAAGCTTCCTGGTTATACAGACGTGAGTGAAGTTTCTTACTTAGCTCCATTTTTTTTTTCATTCTATGTTGATGCATTAATTATCAAAGTCTTTCCCTTCTGTTTTTGCTATAGTGCCTTCCTTGCTGATGTCCAATGACACCTCCCACAGGTGTAGAGAACACGTGAAAATTAAAGCAAATGCTAATGTTATCCTCTAAACTTAGTTAGCAATCATCTTAAGTACTTGGGCAATGCTATTAATGCACATAAGTAGGGCTGTTGAAGAGCAGCTGTTAAAATACCTCCTTTTTTTTTAAGAATTTATTTATTTGACAGAGAGTGAGAGAAGGAGAGAGAGCACAAGTGGGGGGAGCAGCAGAGGGAGAGGGGGAAGCAGGCTCCCCACTGAGCAGAGAGCCCGATGCGGGACTCGATCCCAGGATCCTGAGATCATGACCTGAGTCGAAGGCAGAGGCTTAACCCACTGAGCCACCCAGGTGCCCCAAAATACCTCCTTTGTAAATACACTAGTTCTGTGGCCCTGAGAGGGAAGGATGAAGTGTCCAAGATCCGGCAAACCCGGAAGCAGATGTCTGCCATGATGGGGACTTCCTGGAGGGGTGGGGGAGCAGGAAAATGTTAGGAAATTAAGTACTGAACCACACTGACTTCACTATACTTGGATTGATGTCTGGAATTGTAAATTTTTTTTTAAAGATTTTATTTATTCATCTGAGACAGAGAGAGCATGAGCAAGGGGAGAGGCAGAGGGAGAGGGAGAAGCAGGCTCCCTGCTGGGCCAGGAGCCCCACATGGGGATCAATCCCAGGACCCCAGGATCATGACCTGAGCCAGAGACAGACGCTTAACCATCTGAGCCACCTGGGTGCTCACATTGTAAATTTCTGAATTTCAGATCAAGTTGTGCTACTTGATTTGAAGCATAAAGTGAGAATATGGTCAGAATTGAACACGTATGTGGGATTTGAGGGCGTTTTCTGTCTGTTTTTGTTTTGTCTTTGTTTTGTTTTTTGGTTTCTTTATCATACTCTGAATCATTCAGTTTCCAGGCTTGGGAAAAAAAGTTTTGGGAGAAGAATCGAATGAGTTCACTAATGATTTGGGTAAGTAGAAGAATTTGAATGTATTTTTATAACTTAATTATCATATGGTATTCTAATTTTCAGCAACATCATGAAATAAATGAATGGGAGCCTTTCATGTAAATAACATATTTGAATGTTAAGCTTCTTTCAGCACCTCAAAATATCATGCCTTTTAAGTTAGAGAGAGGTAGTATCTTGGGATTATTGAGCAAGTCCATATGTTTTCTTTTAGATATAAATCTGTAGCTCTTTTTTTTTTTAAGATTCTTATTTATTTATTTTGACAGACAGAGATCACAAGTATGCAGAGAGGCAGGCAGAGAGAGGGTGAAGCAGGCTCCCCGCTGAGCAGAGAGCCCGACATGGAGCTCGATTCCAGAACCCTGGGATCATGACCTGAGCCAAAGGCAGAGGCTTTAACCCACTGAGCCTCCCAGGCACCCTAAATCTGTAGCTCTTAAGATAATATATGACCATATTTGGAGAAGTTCATGGCCCTTTGAAAATCTAACCGAAGGTACAGATGCTCTCAGGAAGGTGCACACATGGACCATTTTAGGCACAAATTTTAAGCCCATTCATGGACCTTGTGGGGAGTCCACAGACCGCGTGCACCTGAGAATCGAGAGAGGCCCAATCTTTGAAATACTGTGTGTTCTTGAGCAAAGAAAATTTGTTCACCTCATCAGTTCTCTGGTCTCAGAACCTCTGTAAAAGGAGTTGAGTTAAACAAAAGGTTCCTTTTAGCACCAAATTTTAACTCTTCTTTGATTAGTTTCCTGTGGGCCAGATTCTCCATTGATGTATCTCCCCATTTTCTGGATGGCAGAGAGACAAACATCAAAATCTCTGATCCTTTATAGCAAAACAAATTATTTTAAGTTTGCCTGGCTGTTTTGTTTGATTAATGGTAGAAGATTAAAATAGTGAACTTTATCATTGATCATGTGACCCATAGTCAAACAGCTGCAGGCACAGTTGCAAAGGAAAAAACTAATTTCTGGATTAACGCTGGAAGATTGTCTCCTTCATGGCTATGTATTGAGATGCAGTCAGTTCTGTGACACTCAGAGAAATCTCATTGAGATTTCTGTTCTTAAGGATAAAAAAAATCTGTGACTAATAAGAAATAGGATAAAAAAGGATTAAAAAAACATCTGTGACTAACTAATAAGAAATCCAATGCTTGAAATCCTGTGTTCGGCTACCTCAAAACCAGTTATTTTATTCTTTCATTTATCTAGAATTATAGGGACAAAAAGTCATTCCACATGCACGTTCCTGAGAACCTGAGGGGAGAAGGGGTCAGCATGCCGGGGGCAGAGAAGTAGGAGCATGGTGGGGGGAGGCGAGTGCAGGCCGGAGCCGAGCGTGGACGTTTGCAGAAGGAGTTTGCATTTTGCAAACGTGGTGGGAATTCAGTGGAGAATTGGAAGCAAAAGGAGTGATGTGAGAGGATTTTCTCCTTGGATTGATCCTGGGGCTTTACCTGAGCCCCGAGTCCCGGCTTGGTTACGTGGCAGTGATTAGCCTTGACATTCCCCGACTTCAGCAGTTTAATGTGATTTGAATTTAACTTCACTAAATGCAGTGGAAGGTTTCCTGCTGATTCAGAGGCATCTCTGTGATAGATTCTTACTGTGCTTCCCACCCGGACTGAGCACCCGAGTCCCCCGGGGTCGTCTGCACTCAGCTGTGGGAAGGAGCCTGAGGTCCTGAGTGTCTGACAAGCTCTCGGGGATGAAGGCGACACGGCTAGTCCTCAAACTGGCCGGGGTAGCTGGGAGTTCTCACCTACTTAGCACAGGAGTGCCATGTCTTCTGCGTCTTCTAAGTTTATCTTCATCACTGCCGTCACTTTCTGTGGCTGTTCATTTGCCTGTTTTTCCAGCCTCTTCCATCACTTTTGGTCGGAGCTGGAAACCAAAGTAACCCAGGGTGTAAGAAGCATGTTTAAGAGGGGCTGATCGGGTAACTTGTGTCACCGGGAGCCAGAAGCATCCGTCCCGATTCCCAGTGGGGCTCACAGAGGAGAGGTAGTCCGGCGTGTCCTGTCCTGTCACACAGTTTGCCACATGTGACGACGAGCTGCGCTCAGCTACTGTACTCTACTGAGCGGAAACAGTTTTTAGATAAAAGCAGTATCCTGGAGGGAGGCAGAAGCACTTGTAGTGCTGATAAAAGCTCTTCCTTCCCATAATACATCCATCCATTAACAGGCTGACCGATAGATATTAAGAAGCAAAAGGCAAAAAACATAAATATCACCAAGGACTCAGGGTTCAGGGGTTCTTAAGTGGTTCACCAGCCCCTTAGATTGGATACAGAATTGTGTGCGTGTGCCCACGGGGACATTTTTCTGGGAAGACAATGTTTTTGATGCTGGGAACCCATCCCTCACTTCATATTAGGTATTTGCATGACTTGTGGGCGGTCGTGACCTTGGCAGCCCCCGGGGTGACTCTGGCAGTCAGCTGGGTTAGGACCACGTGTGTGAACGTGTCGCCCTCATCTGATCTGAGTGCATGGCCTCTGCCCCTCCCCATCCCTGTCGTTCTCCTCCCTGGAAACTCTGGAAATGTGGCAGCTCAGTTTGTCTTCACTCTAGGGGAGAAGATCATCGTGAGGCTGTGTCCGACGGAGGAGGGGACAGCCGAGCTCCTCAGCAGGGTCCTTGGCGGCAACAAGTCGGCGTCTGAAGCATTAGCCAGGGTTGTTCATCAGGACGTCACCTTTGGCGACCCGGCTCTGGACGCGGTGGAGGTCGACATTCCGCAGGACACCCTGGGGATCTGGGTGGACCCCATAGGTAAGCCGCGGGGGGCACTCGCTTTCATGTGTCCTCAGCGGTACCTTGGTCGGGGGAGGCTTGGAAAAATGAGAACGGAGCATGGGACCAAACTGTCCCCGCAGTCTGTGATGTTTTAAGGCTGGGAAATGAACAGTGAGGAGTTGAGGCATGTGTGTGACGTGCTGTTGCTCATGCAGGTGCGTTTGTGACGTCTCGGGAGCGGGTGTGTATCTGTGTGTGTCTGGGGGGTGCACACTCGCACACTCGCACACTCGTGCACCAATAATGTGGAGTTAATTCCTCTTCGGGAGGCTGGGGGGCCAGGCCAGCAGGACAGCAGAGTGACCGAGCCGTCCCAGTCACCGGCGAGCACACCTGCCGGTTCAAGAACGCTCCGCTCCACAGACCGGTCCCACGTGCGCACACGGTCCAGATCATCAGGGCTTTAAAGAGCCACCCAAATCCCGGGTTTAAGCGAAACCTCCCAGTTTTTAACCACTGACTGCTGACTCGGTCCAACAAGCAAGCAGTCAGAAGCACCGTGCAGACGAAGCAAAGCGCGGCAAATGGGATACGGTCCCTTCGTGAGCCTCGCAGTCTCCACCATCGCCGTCTGGGTCATGGTGGTGCTAGAGCCCCACTCCGCGCTCCGTGCTGCAATCCCGCACGTCTGCTTCAGTGCTGCTGTGTGTGCGGCCCCGGCTGTCGGCGGTGGAAACTCTCCTTCTTTTCATTCCCACTTGCCTGGCGTCTCCCACCCACCACGACTGGGGCCACTCCCAGGCAAATGCCCATCGTCCCGTCGTGCAGGTGCGCTAGTGCCACATCCGAAAGGTGCCTTTAATCATCAGGAGTTGTAGCATGTTCATCAGTGGATTCCATAGGCAGACTGAAAATCCATCCCAAAATCGTTTCTCACTTAATGGTAAATTACCATGAGTTGAGGTTTCTGAGGGACGGGTCTCCCATTTCTTGGTTCTCGCCTGAGTTGATTCTGTTAGCCAGCTATGTGGATTTTTCTGCAACCCACACCCTTCACCAGCTGTGAACTCACCAGTTGTTGGCAGTCAGCTGCTGGCATGTGTGTCTTTTAAGGAGAAACCTAGTTCCTTGGCTTTTCTTCAAGGAGCACCATCCGTTTCTTCCGTTTGTGCCACCATCACTGTCTCTCTCCTTCTTCTTTGAGGGACCAAAAAAACCCCATAAAAGTAAAAAATAAGGTAATCCCACCCCTGAGAGCTTTCTGGAAGGAGATTTTCCCATCCACCCATATTATACTTTGCCCTCTGGTTGGTAAGAGCTCTAAGGAATCCCACCAGTTATCCTGAGTCATTAGCTTTTAAGTGCTTTTGACCTGTGAGGATTATTTGAGTGCTTATCATAGACAAGGTGCTGGGTTAGACACCACAGGTGTCTAATGTCCTCTCCCTTTAGGACACAGCACGTCCTCTCCCTTTAGGACTTCCCGTAGGGCTGGGGAAAATGGAACTCAAGCATCTTAAACATGAAGCACAAGAGGTCAGAGAACAAGTCAATACAAGTGACACCCAAAGGTAACACGTGATTGATAACTCTCAGTCTGTTCAGCTGCTGTAACAAAATACCGCAGACTAGGTGGCTCAGAAACAACAGAAACTTCTTTCTCAAAGTTCTGAAGGCTGGCAAGTCCAAGATCAAGGTGCTAGTGTGGTAAGACGAGGACCCTCTTTCTGCTTCGTAGCCTGTAGCTTCTCGCCATGTCCTTGCATAGCACAAGGGATGAAGGATGTCCCTAGAGCCTCCTTCATAATGCAGTAATCGCATGACTAAGGGTTCCACCCTTCTGCCTTAAGTACTCCCCAAAGGCCTCACTGACTAATCCTATCCTCTTTGAGGGGTTAGAATTTTGGGAGGACACATTCAGACCACAGCCATCACCAAATAAGTGGGAAGAAAGAAATTATACAGGACAGAGTTTATGGATGTATCCATCATTATTTTTGAAATAATCACTGCCTGAATTCAAACAAATCTGCTTCATTTTTTTTCAGATTCCACTTACCAGTACATAAAAGGTTCTGCGGACATTAAATCCAACCAAGGAATCTTCCCCAGTGGACTTCAGTGTGTCACCATTTTAATTGGTGTCTATGACCTACACACAGGGGTGCCCCTAATGGGAGTCATCAACCAACCTTTTGTGTCACAAGACCTAAACACCCTCAGGTAAAAGAGGAGTATTTCCGGTATATTGTAGTTTGGGGAAGTCACCCCCTCAGCTTTGCATATTTTAGTCGGGATGGTCCCTTGACATGACATTACCATGACTTGGTACTCTGAGGTGCTCCTACTAAAGTCTGCAGGTTTGAATTAAAATTCTTTTTCTTTTCAGTCTCGGGTTAAATATAATTTTGGTGGGGGCTAGGCACAGGCTGACAAACTTTTAAAAGAAAGTCCATCTTGGAGAAAGCTTAGTTTGGCCTTTGGAATATAGCAATCCTGTTCCCTGTTTTCTAGAATCCATTCGAAACCAGATTGCTAGAACAGTGGTAACAGTCTTCTACTACATTTGAAACAAGGTAGATGCTATCCCTATACAGCCAAGTCAAACATTTAGGCAATTTTAGAAGAAATTCAAAACAAATATGAAAAGTATCCAATCAAAAGGTGAGTAGGTATGGCCAGGATTGGACCCTGACCATGGGGCACCCTCCCTACAAATCCTGCCTCTCCCCGCTCCCCTTTGCACGGATTCTGGCCCAGATCCTGGAGGTGGCCAGGCTGTCTGTGCCACTGCTCCACGGCCTGTACGTGGGTAGACCCAGCACGTGGCACAGTCCAGATGGAAGTAAGCGGCTTTTCTCCTGTGGTTTCCGTTTTGAAATGGCCCTATTTTTCCATGTCTGTATGACTACACATTTTTACTGAACTTTGACTTGCTTCATGCCACTAAGATTTATTCTTTTTTTTTTTTAAGATTTTATGTATTTATTTGACAGAGAGAGAGATCACAAGGAGGCAGAGAGGCAGGCAGAGAGAGTGGGGAAAGCAGGCTCCCCGCTAAGCAGAGAGCCCGATGTAGGGCTCAATCCCAGGACCCTGAGATCATGACCTGAGCCGAAGGCAGAGGCTTACCCCACTGAGCCACCCAGGCCCCCAGATTTATTCTTTAATGAACATAAACTACACCTCTGCAATCTTGACTTTTTCTTCCCCTCTACCCTGCCTTTTAAACTGAAAACGTGTCTCTGGTATCTTTAAAGGGTTATTAAGAATTAAAAAGATCTGGGACTGGAGGCAGACATACCCATGGCCTAGAAATGGCTGGCACAGTAGTCAGTGGTGCTAATTCTGGAGTGAGGGTTTCTGGATTTCTGTGCAGAGCCCAGCACTGACTAACGCACTTACAGCTCTGTTCCCTGAGGCCTGCTCCATTCTCTGTAAACAGCGTAATGACCAACATGCTACAATAAGTTAAACACGGAGACAGAAGTGCTGTTGGTGGTGGCGTGGCCACAGAGCATGAGTCCCTCTTTCTTGGTGTTAAAGCCAAAGCGGGGCGGGTGACTGAGACTCTGAGAAAGGCTCAGCAAATGAAGAAAAACTGGTAAGGATGTAAAAGATTTGCAGGTTGAAAAGAGAGATGGTTGATCTGCTCATTTTGTTCCCAATTTAACTTTAAATGCCAAAAGTGGTGAATGAAATTCTGCTGTGTTCCTGGAGGCCAGACATCCCAGAGATATTTTCCCATTGCCTGAGATCACATCTCAAGCCTGCAGCAAGGGCGCGTGCATGGCTCAGCTGAGGAAGTGTCCGCCTGCGGCTCAGGTCAGGATCTCAGGCGCCTGTGAAGGAGCCTGAGCACCCCCCCAACCTCACATCATGCTCCCTCTCTCTCTGCCCTTCTCCCCTGTTCTTGCTTGCTCTCTCACACTCTTGCTCTCTCAAAAACATAAGTAAAATCTGAAAAACAAACCCCCCAGCATTCCTGATCTGCAGTGACCCAGCAGCCAGAAGCATAAGAAGTACTTTTACAGACCAATGAGCTACTTGCTCTCTGCTTCTAGGCTTCGGGGCACGGAGACTCACTGCGTTATGTATTTTCATGTCATTAAGTTGGAAAACAACGTGAGTAATACAAACAAGTGTGACAGGCTTCCTCTCCCAACTGAAAAGCTGTCTTCCGCAGGTGGAAAGGACAGTACTACTGGGGCCTTTCTTACGAGGGGACCAACATCCATTCGCTTCAGCTTCCCGACCCCAAAAGAAAGAGTAGTGACACTCAGAGCCGAGGGACCGAAGACACCAGCTCCGAGGGCGAATGCCCCCACGGGCTTTCAGCTGTCATCAGCACGAGTGAGAAGGACACCGTCAGAGCCGCCTTGGCACGTGTGTGTGGCGAGCGCGTGTTCCCGGCGGCCGGGGCTGGCTACAAGAGCCTCTGTGTTGTCCAAGGTCTTGCTGACGTTTATATCTTTTCGGACGACACCACGTTCAAGTGGGACTCGTGCGCCGCTCACGCCATCCTGCGGGCCATGGGCGGGGGGATGGTGGATTTCAGCCGGTGCCTGCGGGCACCATCCGGGCCGGCGCGCGAGTGGCCGCAGCTGGTGTACCACGCGGGAGACGAAGGTGCGGCCGGCGTGGATCGCTGGGCCAACAAGGGCGGACTGGTGGCCTACAGGTCCCAGAAGCAGCTGGAGACGTTCCTGAGCCTCCTCATCCCCAACCTCGCCCCTGCGGATGCGTGCACGTAGGGAACTCTGTCCTCGTGCGATTCAGAACCCACCCATGAAGCAGTTTCCCGCGTCTCGTACCCTCGGAGATACCTTCGACCTATTGATTGTCAGGCTTCTCCCCCTCTTCTGAGGAGTATTTTCCCATTATGTGGCCGTAGGATGTTTGTTTCAGTGAATGACCCGTGTCTGTGCGGCAGCTACACAGCTGGACGAGCTTTCAGCCGCGGGTGTTGTGCCATTCGTGTCGTCTGAAACACTTCAATAAAAACCCAAGAGAAGAATTCCGTCTGCCTTAGTATCACTCCTCTAAGCATCTAAATCACGCGTAGAATGTCGCTGAAATATTAGGGAGAACGTAAGAAAAAGCTGTGCTTGGATTCTGTTTCCTGTCCTGAAGGGAAAATCTGCAGCTTTAGCCTTTGGCAGAACATTTAGAACCTTGAATCTGATGCGTAATTTAGCCAAGTTCGTGTACGCTCAGTCTCCTTCTGCTTAAAAGAATCATAGCCTGGAGCACTGTGTGTCCCCTCTTCCTCTCGCTCACAGTCTTTCACATGGGTGCGCGCACACACACACACACAGATATTCTCTAATTCTAATATCCTCATAGACACGCTCCATTTCTATCACCAAGGCAGAAGGGGATAAAGAGGTTTCTGCAGTTCTTGCAGTTTTTAAACTTCAAAAACCAGGGCTAGAGCTACACATAGGCAGTCCTCATGTTTACTGGAGTCCGGCAGGGCGTCCGCTGAGGTGAACGTGGACCTCTTTTCCTGTTCTCCTGAGCGGCCTTGGTGAAGACCCAGGCCCCCATCCGGAGGGATCCAACACTCAGCTCTGATTTCTTCCTGCCTTGCGCCCTCTGGGGGCCAAAGGGTATTTCTGGAGCATTTTCTATTTCTCCATAATTACAAATGAATGAAAAAGACAAACTGTTTTTGATAGTCTGGCGTTGCAAACAGCAGATTCAACAATTATTGATAATCGAGTTACAGCATTTAAAGCCATCGTTGTGTTTTGTGACAGATTGTTGGCTCTCGAGCTATATATTCTAAGCCCTTAGAGTGTTCTCTTAAAGGTTGATTTTAAATAAAAGTGAGCTCATTCTTCACAAACCGCATTAAAAACGAAAGCCCAGCAACTAGCCCTGCTCCCTGATATGCGCCAGAATGAGATATGGAGTATGCTCCAGGAAAAACACTGATTGTCCACGTGAACATTTTAGGGCTTGTAAATTATCAATAAAATACAGTGAAAACAGTCCTCTTCAGTGTGATCTGAACAAAGCAGTTTATCAGTTTATGAGAGACGAAAAGCTAGGAAATCATGTCTATTCTGTTAACATCCATTATGCACGTTCCCTGCCCATGTGCAGGGAAACCAAGGTCCTTTCTTCAGGGTGTGTCTGGGAATGGGTCTGCAGTTTCTCTTGCAGGAGCTACACCCAGGGGAGCATGATCTCTAGTGTTGATTTCTTTAGAAGAAAAATCTTAAAAATGCTTGCAAAGTGATCTGAGGACATATTCTGGATTTAATTTTTTTCCCTCTATTTTTACAATTGTCTCATGCTCTATTTTTTTAAGACTCACCTTTATCAGGGTGCCTGGCTGGCTCAGTCGGTGAGGAGATGTGAGTCTTGATCTTGGGATTGTGAATTTGAGCCCCATGTCAGGTATAGAGATTACTTAGAAAAATAAAGTCTAAAAAAAAAAAAAAAAAAAGGACTCACCCTTATCAACCCTTTCCAAAGCCTTTAATTCTTCGTTTTCAAAATCATGTTCCATCATGTTATCTGTAATCTATTGAAAGTACACTCAGAATATACAGTTTTGGGAAGTAGCCAACAACTCTCGGCAAACACACAACTCACTTGACGGGAGCGGGAGTTGGGAGTAGTGATGGAGGGAATGCCAGAGGAGCCTGTGGGCCATGAGGGTCAGGTCTCGGTGCATCAGCCACTGTGGTTTACAGGAGACCAGAGAGACGAATCTGCCAGTCACTTACCGGGAGGCTGGTAAGAAGACAGCTGCCACTGCACAGAGGGAAGGGCAGGCTCTGGGAAGCCAAGTCACTTTCCCCCACTCTAGTGTCTTCCACGGAGGGGGAGGAATGAGAGAGCTTGCAGTAGCTGGAGTTTGAGGGAAAACTGGCCACATCTCCCTACAGTAAAAGCTAAGCCTTTTCCACTGGGTTTAGCAATCGGTAGCTTGAGGTACAATGCGGTGTAAATGCATCTGCCTTAGGCCAAGTATTTCTGTAAGTCCACAGTTCCCACGCCAGGCCAGCTGACCAGCCTCACACTTTGGAATGAGCCCAGCTATGCCCTTGGTGTATTAGGACAGCTTGCTGCAGGAGCAAACTCAGTTAGTTAGTTAACTTGATACATCAAGTCTTAGAGTATAGAAGTAGGCAAAAGAATGAAAAGCCAGAGAGAGTTAATGTATTTTTATCCTTAGCATACAGGGAGGAGCACCATTACAGTGAGAAATTGGTAGCTTTGATATTATTTTTCCCCCAGGAAGATATTTCTATCCATTTGTCATGCTAATATAAGCAAGGTCATGCATGTGAGAAGTTGTTTTTTAAAAATAAATTCTTAGGATTATAATTGTATTATCCAGATTATTTTGAGAATCGTAATCCAATCTGTAGATAATCTAGGCTTGCACGTCCCGAATGATATCCCCTCACCCTCAGGTCGCTACTGAGTCCTTAAAACGTGGCTACTCTGAATTGAGATGTGCTATAAATGGAAATACCTACTGGATTTCGTGGGAAAAAAAGTAAAATATTCATAATTTGTTACAGACATCTCTATAACACAATTTTTTGCAATGGAACAAAAGTCTTAAATTTTGGAACAAAATACTTTAACTTGCAACTTGATGAATATTATAACAAAGCAACAGTTCAGTAAGGCATTAAGTTCACTATTCAAGGTAATTAGTAAACATCTAATAATGGTTTTATTTTCTAGGTCCTATCTGTAAGTTAATCATTTACATTTTGTTTTCTTATTTCTCACATTCCCTATGTTGTAACCACTGATTTATTCCTTCTTTCATGCAATCATATGCAGATGCACACATATCTCCAATAGCTGATTTAAATTCTATGAAAGATAACATGACTATGGGGCAATTCTTGTCCACCATTTTGTTTCAGTAGGCCAAAGGGTATCACAAACCAAACTTGACATATACCTGCTACCAAAGACAGACTTAACAGTTGGGACAAGGGAAAGAATATGGGTTTTAGAATAAACAGACCTGGGTTCATGGCCACTCACAATGTGATCTCAAGTCAGATATTAAACCATGTAACCTCTTTGAATCCCAGTTTCTTCATCCAGGAAAATCATAAATGCCATCTCTCTGGAATATTGTAAGAAGCAATGAAATAATGTATGTACGTCTCTAACACCGTAGATAGGTGCTCAATAAAACATAGCTACGAATACCTTTGGTATTCATAGAGAATGCAGTAAGTCTAAAAATTACCAGGAAACAAAAACTAAATTAAAAGTGAGACAGTAAGTTAGAGACCTCACTCTTTTCTCAGCCATTTGTTTTGCTAACGGATACGGACAATCTGCCAGGCAACTTAGATGGAGGGTGGCAACGAGTTTCCCTGGCCAGGCGGTAAGGGCGGTCTCCAGGAAGCTTAATTCTTCTGTTGTAATATAATAACATCATATTATATTCACGGTTAACACATAATGATCACTATACTCCAAGTGCTGTGTTAGACATTTTACTTACGTTCTTTTCTTTACGATAACGAGCTAATTTGTGTATTCCTAGACGCCACAGCATATCACTACCTTTTCCTCCTCACTAGATATTTTGCTTACATTAAAGAACGATTATACTCAGTCAGGGCCCCTGGGTAACTCAGTTGGTTGAGCATCTGCCTTCAGGTCGGATCAGGATTCAGGAGTCCCAGGATCGAGCCCCGCATCAGGCTTCTGATGCCAGTGGGGAGTCTGTTTCTCCCTCTCCCTCTGACCCTCCCCCATTTCATGCTGTTTCTCTCTCAAATAAATAAAATCTTAAAAAAATAATTGTTCAAGATCTTCTTCTTAGAACGTTTTCTACACATTCTTTTCACCTGTTACTGTATACCAGCCACTTGCTTGTTCCTATGAATACCCCTAACTCAGCCCGGCTGTTCTTCAGGACTGGCTCCCACGCTGAGTCGGGTCTTGAAGATCACGGCCTTTGAACGCACTTTATATGCTGCCGGTCATCGCCCGGGCTTCGGACCCCTCCGAGGCTCCCCGCATGAAATTCTGAAGTGCCAAGAGATGTGTATCCTACAAAGGGCTTCTGTGATGTTATAATGACGGGAGCAGAAAAAGCAGAGCTTTTGGCCTGTGCATAGAGTCTGTAAGACAGCCCTTCCGTCCGGGAGAAGTCCAGCCGGGCTAAGCCTGCAGTAACGCTTTATACGGACTTTATATGAACCACGTGTAGCAAAATGCCAAATTCACAACAACTTAAATAAGATACAAGGAAGCCAAACGGCGGCTGTACCCTAACACCCGCGGGGACTCAGGCTCCTTCCATCCCCAGATGACGGCCCTTCTCCTGTGACGGCAGCAGGATCTGCAAGACAGAGGGAAAGACAGGAAGGAAAGAGCAGGTAATTTTTCAGCTCATTGACAAGAACCTAGTCATGTGATTGTACTTGCACATAGGAAGCTGGGAAGTATACCCAGCCGTGTGGCCAGCAACCATGTACCTGGCAAAACCGGGCATTTCGTCACCCTGGAAGACAGGAGACAGACATTGGAGAGCAACCGGCAATCTCTATCGCTCAGTCCAACTGGGCTGTCCGGGCTGGCCTCGGTCTGACCTCTGATCACACATCCCTGTTCTTATCACTAATGTCTCATGACGTTTCCAGCCACATTACTCCCATCCTTAGCCACATGCGCTTATCTATTTCAGCTGTACTTATCTACTTCATCCCCCAAAGAATTAAAAGTGTCATAAATATATACTCTTATTACAATGATAAAGGGAACTTCTGGCCAGCAAAAGCACAGATGAAAATACAAGATGAATGGAAGTGGTTATTTTTCTCC